TATATTAAATGGAATGGCCCCATACAGCAGTCCTTGCCCAGTATCGCCCCAATGGCACTGATGAATTCCTAAAAAGGCCCTGGGATTTCTGCAGACCTGCCAACAAAGGAGTAGCAGAAATAGTGAGTTGCTATCTAAAAAGTTGTGAGATTGACTGAGATATGACCAGGGTTAACTTTTATATATTTTTGTTAATATATAAACCATAATGCAAGGCTTATTAAAAATAGGCTGTTTTTTCTTTATGCCACATGGCTTCAGTAGCTTCAAGTGTCAAGTCTCACGAAATATCCCGGGAATTTGTGGTTTTAGCAGAGATTTTGCCGAAAATCGTGAGACTTGGCAGATCTGTTTCTGTGGAGTATTTCACCATTTTTGCGGTATTCTCAATCGTTATTCGGCTATATATTTGATAACCTGGTAAGATTTCGTAAGATGAAGTAAGATTTAGAGTCTGTTGGTCAAATATAAAACGTTAAACGGATTTGAAACCCCGGCCTCGTGGGCAAGCCTCATGTCGCGAACAATGAGCACAGTATAGTTCATATTATGTAGTTCATATAAACTTCTGAGTGAACTTGATATTCATTTTAAAACTAACCTTCACTCCAACCGTGTTTCTCGAGCTGTTTCTTGGCAAAATCCAAGCCACGAGATTCTTCTGAAGCAGCTGTTTCTCCTCCGATATGAAAATTTACCATCCTCGAAGGCTCGCACAGTTGAACGAACAATGATCATTGATCATGTATTAAAATATGATCACAGTGACAACAGTGATATATGACCTCCTATATCTATAGGGATGTAATAAAGATCATGGAAGGAATATAGGGATCATATAGGAATGTAATTGTAACCACATTTTACGGTGAGAATCAGAGAATGTGAAGGATCGTATAGGAATATATCCAGGATAACATTGAATAATTATAGTTTATGGTCTTTGCGTGTTTTCGTTTGTGAACAGTGTCACTTCTTCAGCAATTTATACGTTTCTAAGTTCAATAACTTCAATTTCAGTAAAGTTGTGAGTTGTTATAAATTATAACCTGAGTATCAGGCTCTAAAAAGTACGGCCTGATACTCAGGTTATATAAATTATTTCAAAGTTCACGGTACATGAATCTGTGACATTTCTATCCACAATAGCCCCTTTGACTTCGACCCGCACTCGGGCAGTCGACCTTGACCTTTGATCATGTCTTGTTCGATGCTCTCGTTGGGCCACGTTTTCAAAGGAAGTAAACGCAAGATGTTTGCGGAAACGACTCAAATTTAGCTGTTAATATTCAAATTTTCGTCCACATCTGGCCAGCTTTGCGCGTTTTGTACACGTTCGTGTAAAATTTGATGCTTTATAACGTCTTTAAACTTGGTATTCGTTCGATCATTGTTAATTGAGTGCGGTTAATTTTGTGTTTTGTGATTACCTGTCAAAGTTCGCAAGCATGACGCATATTGGAAGAGAACTTGCGTTTATTGTGCTGTTAGCTGTATTATTTGTCGCTCATTGTAAACCTGTACAGAAACCCAAAGACACGGAAGAAAACAAAAAAGATGACTGGAGAAAAGAGGAGGACCCGGCTTACGTTAAATACTTAAAACAAGTCATCGAAATTTTAGAAGAAGATGAAAATTTTTCAAAGAAACTTGAGAATGTGACAGAGGAGGATATACGTAGCGGTAAAATTGCTGAAGAGATAGATTTTGCAAGTCATCATATTCGCACAAGACTGGACGAACTCAAGCGAAAGGAGATTGAGTCTCAGAGACAGTTACTGAGAAAGCAACAAGACACACGTAGGGGTATACATAGAGAATACTGGCATCCTTTAAACGACAGAGAAAATCCAGATACATTTGAAGTTGAGGATTTAAAAAAATTACTTTCCAAGGTAATTATTGAGCATGAAAATTGAAGTGGTTTGTTTTTCCTTTGATTCCTTGCTTTTTAGGTTTAATAGGCAAACTGGTCACCACCACCATGGGAGCCTCTTTGGAGGGGAAAATATGCTATTTACTCAGGTTAATGCATGAGTCAATACCATAAGTGACCACACCACCCCCGAACACTCAGGCATTTGCTGCTTTTTTAAAATACAAATCCCTAGCTCTGGGGCAATGCTCTTTCCTCCACACAGCTTTCTTGGCTTCTTAACAAGGATAAGCTTCGATATTATAAGACTTAAACAAGATGATTAAAGCCCCGTTTACACTACGCTCAATTTTTGGTACGGCACGGATAAAATTGGTACCCGTACCACTTTTTTGGTTCTTGGACTACCTATTTAGGTAGTTCAAGAACCAAAAAGTGGTACGGTACCAAAAATTGAGCGTAGTGTAAACGGGGCTTAGCTAAATAGGTAGTCCAAGAACAAAAAAAGTGGCACGGGTACCAATTTTATCCGTGCCGTACCAAAAATTGAGCGTAGTGTAAATGGGGCTTAAGTGAAGCGAGATGCTAGACTCTAGTGAGCAACACTTATAAGGTCTCGCCTGCATTTTAATTTTCAGCAGGTTCCTCAGTTTCTCTCATTACAACTGGTCTTGTGCCTCTTGCTTCGCCTAATCACCTTGTTTATGTCAAACCAAGGAGACAGGGGGCAATTTATACCAGTGGTGAATGGTGAATGTCCTTCTCCCAGGAGATATAAGTGTGACTCAGGAGCACAAAACAGATCAAAGTACCAGGCGTCCAGGCCTTAAAATATCGGTCGGTCACAGACATTGTCCAACCCATTCGTGAACTTGTCCGACGTAGATCTCGAGGAAACCACCGGACATTCTGTCCTACCAAAGTGGAACTGAGGTTTATTGTTTGTCCGACCTGAGTGTATTTGTGTCCGACCGAACTGTAGCTTTGTCCAACATAAATCAAAATGTACCCTATCCCACGACTAGAGACTCGTATGTTAAATGGAAAATCAGAGTACTATTGTATAAAAGGTGAACTGGAAATTTGTTTTAACGTAGTCGAGCGCGGGGCAGGGAGCGAAAGTGGAAAAATGGGCTTAAATTGTCTAAGTCTTTTACTGCTGTTCTGGAAAGCAAGTTAATTTTGGCTTGGAAATAAGTATGAAAGAAACAAATTATTTAATATCTTCACAAACATTTACCGTCATTCATCCAGTCCTGCAAAATCATTCATCCAGTCCTGCATGAATGGAGCCTGTGCATGGCATTGTGCACCTGCCCAGGTGCACAACTGTTCAATTAAATAAATATTATTTCAAGTTCTGTATGTTTCCATTGATGGTAGTACTCAGGTTACTATTTGTATCCTTGAACATTTCAGTTTACACCTATTAACACTTTCCCCTTGACAAGTAAAATCTTTTTAGAGCTGTGCAAACTTCGGTTGTTTTAGCTCCGGCTCCAGTCGTCAAAACTCCAGCAAGGAATTTTTATGGAAATTTCATATTTAAAACTGGAAGCAGGCGAACGTATTTCAGTGTAAGGCGAAAGCACAGAATAAGGTACACAGAAGGCCGACTTCTTCGTTTTTCCTATGATTTTCCTATGATTTTGGCGTAACTCGTGATTCGTCATCAAATGCTGACGCCATGGTCCTAGCCAGTGAGCGTTTGAGAGGCATTCACCCCCTGATAATATTCAAAATGGCAGATGTCCAGGGGGGGAATGCCTCTCAAACGCGCACTGGCTAGGACCATGGTATCAGCATTTTGATGATGAATCATGGCGTGGCAGCGGTTACTCGAGTCGACCTTCTGTGTACCTTATTCTGTGGCGAAAGTATTTCAGTGTAATTTCAGAATTTATCTTTTTTTAAACACGTTTTTACAACACTAATAATAGTAAACAACATAGTTATACGTGGTCGGTAATATATAGTAAAACAACATATAAATAGTAATATATTAGTAAACAACAACTTAATTTTACCATTTAATTCCAAAATAATGTTCATTGAAATATGAAATAATTTTTCATAATTTTGTTTGCCGGAGTTTTTGCCAGAGTTTTCCGGCTCCGGCAAAATATGCCAGGGCTCCGGCACTGCGGCTCCGGCGCATAGCTTTTAATCTTTTCAATGTTTGGTGATATGAAAAACTGCCATTTCAGTGAGCATACTCTCTACTTTCTAAACAGCACCATGAAGAAATGGATGAAATTGACAAGAGAAGAAAAGAAGAATTTCAAACACATGAAATGGAGAAAGAACACAAACGAAGAAAGGCAGAAAAAGGACTTGATGAAGCAAAGAAAAAGGAAATTGAAGAAGAAAGAAAGAGATTGAAAGAAAAACATATGAAGGATGCCAAAAGAGTTAACCATCCAGTAAGTGAAAACAGAAAGCCAATTCTGAATTTGTTATTCTAAATTGAGAGGCATTATTGTGAAAAAGTGCAGCTTAATGGGTTTATGATGCTCACAATTGAACGAGACCTAATGATAAAGGCTTTTGAACCCTTGATTGATCTTTGGCATGCATTAGAGGTATTGAAAAAGCCATCAGATGTTGAAAAAGCCATATTTGCACTCAACCTTTTAGTTCAATCAGGACCATACCAAATTTATTGTTTAATTATAATTTAATGTACCAATTTGAGTGCAGTTTTCAATGCAAGGAAGGCGTAATAATATAAATGTATAGAACAGGTATATATGGTATTACGAATGTATAGACTGGTGTTTGTATCAAGTTGTTTTCTTTTTTATATTCTGCAAAAATGATTCCGAAATGTTAACTAAGGCTTTCGAAAAAACTATCGAATTTTTCCATCGTGTTTTACAGAGAAATGTCTCAGCTGCAAACCCACCCTCAAACGTCCATATGACGTTTCTCGTGGACAAAATAATATGTGAGGTTTCCCTTAATATGTGCATGTGGTATTTTATAATATATGAAATCAGCCTAAAATTTTCATCATTGTATTCAATGTACTTTGAGAATTAGTATATTTCAGAGTATTGATTTGTGCCTAACGTGACTCATTGTCTTGCAGGGCAGTAGACCTCAACTTGAAGAGGTTTGGGAAGAGGAGGATGGACTTGACAAAGACCAGTTTAATCCAAGGACATTCTTTAAAATTCATGGTAAGCATGTACATACATTCTCACTGTCAAATGACTCTGTGATTCTAATGTTGCACGACTTACGCATTATTAATAATATTAACAGTACCTCATTGCTGCTTTACTTTGATCTTCAAGTCTTGGACTGGAAACGTTAACTGACAATGTCTACAGAATAATGTTTGTCGTTGTTAATAAAACCTCAATGCGGTGCCCTGGATATAGTAATTTATTAAGTGCGCAAAACAAGTACACCACAACCGCAAAGATTTACTATTTCAGAATAAATACCAAGACTTGTGATTCCAAACTAACAGACTAAAAAACTCACACAGCAAATACAGTATAAAGCGATGCCAAACGTCCTTTAAGCACCGCAATTTCAGAATTCCACTTTTATGTTTTCACGTTCTACTCTTGTCAGTCGAGGCTTTGTATTCATTTATATAAACCATTGTACAGTATTTGTAAAAGAGGTAGTCCCACTCAGGATTTTTACTTTTGCCAGGAATTTATATAAATGTACTTTGTATTCATTTATATAATTAAACCTTTTAATTTAGGTTTTGTCTCAAGTTGGAAATCACATTCCAGGCTTAAATATTTCGTCCACCACAATACAGTATATTACTATACAACACAGGTTTCAATAATGTGTACAGCTGTACATTAATCAAATCATTACTTACCTTTTTGCAGACAAAGATAATGATGGACAACTAGATCCATATGAATTGGAAGGCTTGTTTTACCGTGAGGTAATTTGTTTTGTTTGTATTAATAACTTGGCTTTTCTTATTCCCAAACCTGTTTGCTAATAGATTCCGAATTAAATAAGATGCAATTTCGTACATGCAGGTAAGCCTATACTGTATATAGAGTATAGGGTCGTGCAGAAAACGATAAAACTTTTTTTATCTCATGGTATAGTCTAACCATCTATATATCCATAATCTAAGGGCGTACACATATTGTTGTAAATTTACCTTCTAACTATAATGATTGATTCATGTAGATCAAAATGTACAAAAGCTCATGAACATTTTCATTTGCACACAATCTAAGTCAGGTATTGTGTTATTTAGGCAAGCAAGATCCACAATAGTTCTGATCCAGATTTTGATAACCGTGCGCTTGATGAAGAAGTACAAAGGATGCGTGAACATGTTGTAAAACAGGTAATCGCACTCAGGATTTTTACTTTCGCATGCAGTTATGAAGCCATGACTAAGTGAAATGAACTGCATTAACCTATAGCAACAATTCAGATAATTTGTTACCTTAACTTAAGTCCCGTTTACACGGCACGTACACGACTGTAGCTGCAATATTTTGCAATGGCACGCACAGCACGGCAAAATTTACGGCAAAAGTTAAATTTAGGCACAGCATGTTTAGTCTTAATATTGTGGGACATTTAACTTATCTATCGAATTCGGATGCGAGTATATACTTTTGAAAACTGCGCATTTAGTTATCTATGCTTTGTCCAGATTTACACTCATTTATACACGGCATGGACTAGACACATATTTTTGCCTGGATAAAGTATATCTTGCATGACCAAATTAAAGTAAAACATCTAGCGAACTCAGTCTACGCTGCCATGCAATTTCGAGAATTATTAGATTTACAAGTGTCTAGTAACTAGTTATTTTGCTTGTGATGTTACTCTGAGTGTATATCCACACCGGGCAGGCTTGAAAAATATGCCTGACCACGGTGGGAATCGAACCTACGACCTTTGGAAATACTAGCCAAATGCTCTGCCAACTGAGCTACGCGGTCAGGTCGGTTCGAGTGTGTGATATTTCGGAACCGAATCTAGTTCGGTGTGGATATACACTCAGAGTAACATCACAAGCATCTTATTCACCTGAGTACATTACACCAACACAGAAATTATCATGATTATTAGATTACATTGATATCGAAGGAACTAGATTCGGTTCCGAAATATCACACACTCGAACCTACCTGACCGCGTAGCTCAGTTGGCAGAGCATTTGGCTAGTATTTCCAAAGGTCGTACATAGGTTCGATTCCCACCCATTCTCGTCCCCAGAGCCCTTCTTACGCGCGGTCAACCGAGCGCGACGAGGGGCTCTGGCCAAATCCATAACCGGACGGTTAAACACTGCGCATGCTCAACGTCAAACGCGGATAAACACTTCGGTTTTCTTGTTTGTTTCGTTTTGAAAGTTTTTCTCCAGGAAAACCGCACAAAAGCGGTAGGTTTCGCTAATTTTTTTTATTTAAATCAATCGGTAGGTAAGACGTGGTGTTCTCAATGCATGTTGATAAAATTTAGTATATATTTCTCTCTTAAACGTTGTCAAAGTAGTAATGGCTACGGATACGAAGACGAGAGATTGTCTCACTATTTTATATTCGATTTTAAGTCGCTGTTGTACGGATTTTTAGACAATTTTTTGTGTTTCATTAAAAGTCAACAGTCATACATAAGACATACTATACTGCAAATCCTTTGAAAATTGTAAAAAATCGGTTTCTATAAGAAGAAAATAGTCATCACAAACTTCATATTCTGGCTGGCTTATTTTCTCTTCAGATGGCACTTCAGCTTTGAACATGTAACACAGATTTGTTTAATTAACATCACTGATTTGAGAATACGACGTGCATCTGCCATAAATATATGTTGACTTCTTGCTGTGAGAACATCGCGTCTCAAGCTATATTAATTTCAATCAACTAATTGATTTAAATAAGTAAAATTAGCGAAATCTATCGCTTTTGTGGGCGATTATCAACAACAATCTTCCTAACTGCTTCGTACTGCTGTTCTTTCAACTTTAATAATGTCTTTTATCCCAATTTTCTCCAAAGCGAAACCAACGCTTCATGGAGCGCTTCTGTATTTTTATTCATATTTACAATAAACCATATATTTCGTTGTGGCCAATCAGATGCCAGTTTGATATGGATTTGGCCAGAGCCCCTCGTCGCGCTCGGTCGAACGCGCGTAAGAAGGGCTCTGGGTACGAGAATGATTCCCACCGTGGCCAGGCGTATTTTTCAAGTCTGCCCGGTGTGGATATACACTCAGAGTAACATCACAAGCATCTTATTCACCTGAGTACATTACACCAACACAGAAATTATCATGATTATTAGATTACATTGATATCGAAGGAACTAGATTCGGTTCCGAAATATCACACACTCGAACCTACCTGACCGCGTAGCTCAGTTGGCAAAGCATTTGGCTAGTATTTCCAAAGGTCGTAGGTTCGATTCCCACCGTGGCCAGGCATATTTTTCAAGCCTACCCGGTGTGGATATACACTCAGAGTAACATCACAAGCATCTTATTCACCTGAGTACATTACACCAACACAGAAATTAACAACTAGTTATTTGTTTATCAAGTCAAAATCTCGAAGGTTTTGAACATTTAACGATTTGCACAAGATCGAAACTGGGTCACGCAGTTCCTAGTCCACTATACAGTAGTACGATCGTACTTTTTAAAAACGCGAAGTGGAGTGGAATTTGATATTTGACGATATTAACTCATTGCGTAAACTGTGGTGTTAATTTGTTAGAAAACTGCAGTCTCTCAACAAGACTAAAGTTTTATCGATTCTTTGAAAATCATACAGCAAAAACAATTCGGGTCATATCACGTTCAACTAGCATAGAATGTTTTTTTGCCTGATTCAAATAGGTGGACAAAGACAACGATGGTTTTGTATCATATGATGAATTCATTGGGGCAACAAAAGATCCTGAATATGAAAAACCACCTGAGGAAAACTGGCAACCAATTGATGATGATAAAGAATACACTGATGAAGAATTTGAAGAATATGAAAAACAATACGGAGATTATGATGAAGAGGTGAGTTTCAGCTTTATTAATTTACTAGATAGCTTAAGATCTACGACGTCGACGTCAGCTAGGACGTCAGGGCTAAGCAGAGGACTGGGACTAGGACGTCGTCCTAAATAAATAAACCTCCACCTAAGATTCACGGCGTAGACATTTAAACTATAAATATTTACATTCTTTTGAAAATGACGTGTGAACCATTACCGTTTGTTATGCTCTTGTATCCACGAAGGTAAAACTCTTGTTGTGGGGTTGTCGACGTTTGGTGGACGACGAGCAAATTGAGAGAGACACATGCACACTTCAAAAACTATTACCAATTTACTTCCACTTGCCGCCCTACATATTTGACGTCGTAGTTACATGAGCTATCGACTTATTTAGGACGATGTTCTATTCCCAGTCCTCTGCTTATCCCTGACGTCCTAGCTGACGTCGACGTCGTCGATCTTAAGCTATCTACTACCACTACTCGGGGCGAACGACTAGCAAGTGCTGCAGTTACGATTACCATTAGCATTTCTATAGCGCAAATGTACATGTGGATATATGATGGATACAACTGAGGACCACCTTAAATGGAAAGGATTTCACGTTTTTTCTCGTGGGCTATGCACAGAGAAGCAGAACATCCTTCTTCAACAAAAGTTTTGGATTTTGATCAATAAATATGGAAATAAGCATTAACACGAAAATGAGACGCCAGGTCATGACCTGAAAAAAAACTTGAAATCCTTTCCATTTATTAAGGTGGTCCTAAGTTGAAAACAGTGTAGTTGTGACGTAATTATCGAATGAGTGTATTACATACTTTAATAGCCTAGATTAGTTTATCTTTACAACAATTGTAATATTACTTTCTTAACTGTGTTTAACCCCACCCTGTCAATTTCCCTGTGGGAGGCACCCGGAGAAAACCCACGCTCTTTTCACATGAGTCCGTAGCGAGAATCGAACCCACGAACTCGAGAGGTGAAAGGCTCTGACGACTGCGCCACCGAAGCCCCCCGAAGCCCACGGGGGAACTGGTTAGAGCGATGCCCCCTGTATACACTGAGTTAAGCTTGCTTCATTAGATCCAAGGTAGACGAGTAACGTCCCTGTATTGGAAACACATGTTAGTCGAGTTTGACTGATTCTGTCCTGTGCTTCGAGGAGTGTCCTCCAAGTCCTCCTATTTTCTGCAATTACTAAAAGCTAACCCTTATGCCTTGTCGAGCACGTATATCATCAGCGAAAATGCGAAATGCATAGGGAACCTTGATTTTGGCACGTTTTAGGGGACTCATTTTATGGAATTCAACAGTCGAAATCTCGGCAACTGCAATAAAAATTTCCCATACGTGTTTAAACACTCGCTAACGGTCTGTATGTACAGAGATGCTACCAGTTATCGACAGAAACTGTGAAAACCATTAAATTGGGATGAAATCTTCTCACATACTGTATATAAACACAGATTAAATTTATCTTGTTTACCGGACCAGCCCGGTTCCACCTAAACACTAAACAGTCTCTATATAAGAAAACACTTCACTAAAGGGCCGATTACATGGAGGTTTTCAGCCCGAGATGAAATTCAGCCCGAGATGAAATTCAGCCCGGCAAACCGGGATGAGATTTCAGCCCAGGGCTCCTGTAATTTCAATATAAAATGAATTTTACGATTACATGGAAAAGTTTCAGCCCGCGTTGAACTTTTCATCCCGGTTTATGTCACCCGGGATGAGATTTTCAGCCCTGTCAACTGGGATGAAATATCCCATGTAATCGCAAATAATTTCAGCCCGGACTAGAAAAACAATAAATGGTTTTATTTTGCGTTTTGTCTCATCTTTAATACTATATGCAACCACAGTCTTACACAAGTCAAGTAGTCGACTAATCGGCGTTTTAAATGCTCAAAGAAGCGGAATATTGCCTTTCATGAAATCGTTATATGATTTGAGCCCGGGCTGACATTTCAGCCCGGGTTTGTTTACTATATACAAGGGATAAATATAGCTCTGACTAAAACTCAGCCCGGATTCAAACTGCCCATGTAATTGTGATGCCATTTCAGCTCGGTTAACCGGGCTGAAACTCAGCCCGGGCTAAAACCGACGCCACGCAGTAACTCCCAATAAATCCCAACGTTTTGCGTTCATCTCTGGATTCTGCGCAAAGCTTCTTATGCGGAATACTTAGAGAAAGTGCGAGCAAATCGTGCTTTTGAAAACTTTTTCTCTACGTTAACAGGAATGCCGCGAATGCATAATATTATGATTCACTATATAAAGGCCGATTTACACTACACAACGTTTGCCTAAAACTGGCGCATGCAACCTGCTTAGAACTTGAGTGGTACTGTGTAAATCAAGCAAACAACTTACCTATGACAACGTAGGCAGATCACAGTAGGTTTGTTGTCCCATAAAAGCTGCTTTATACTATGTCTATGAATTAGTTCGTGTGATCACAGTATAAGGATTTTGCATTGATAAATTCTACGTTTTGAAGGATTTGTGAGAATTGTTTAGGGAACTGAACACTAAGTTAGTTCCCTCAACATTTGTTGCAAATATTTCAAAACTTAGAATTTGCCTATGCAAAATTTCTACTGTGATCACACAAATTTGATAGTGTAAACCAGCCTTCAACGTTAACCAAACAAACTTATTACTGTTTGTGTACGTTCCATTACGCTATAGACAATACATAACACGATACTCATTTTAACATTTCCTTCCAATTTAGGATCACCCAGGCGAAGAAGATGAAGAAACCCATAATGATGTTCCCGCTAATGATGCGGCTGCGGCTGCCCCTCATGTACCGCTGGCGCATTCACCAGATCAAGAAAAACTTGAACATGGTGAAAATGCTCAACAAACTAATCAATAAAATGTAAATAGAAAACTGTATTGTACAATTGTTGTACCCAATTGAGCCATTAGGGCAGATATATATGGGGTGAATAAAATAAATGCATACTCCATAGAGATTTCTGTATTTTTATGTACCAGTGATCCATATTCTATAGCATCAATATTTTAATGTTTTAAGCCGATTCTAAGGCTAAGCAATTTTTCATTGAAATTTATTGAAATTAAATCTATCGAAATTTTAAAAAACTCATTAATAATCAGGTAAAGACAAAGGAAATTATCAAGGAAATTATCACGATATTCGATAATATCGCGATAAATGCAATAAAAACAATGACCACATTTTTCAATTTTAATTAATGTCAAAGCATAGTAAGCTTATATATAATCTTGTTAAAAACAAGTAAAAACAACAAATTAAAGTAATATGAAGGCTTTTTCTAGTCTAATATTTACTGCTCATACACCAGAACTGTATATGCATTGTCTACTATGTCTCCGCTGGCACAAATGCTGTGGGCACACAGTCCAAGCAAAGCCTGCAATTTCATTGTTCAGTGGATCATTTTAATACATAAATATTAGCTTTTGTGTCGTATTAAATTCGTATTTAATTCGGGAAATAGGTGTATTTTCTAGGAATTGAAAGATTATTTTAGGAATTTATGTACATATGCGAAGCAATATCACGATAGTTTTCGACCATGACGATAATTTCGATATACCGTCGTTCAAGTTCCTACCTTCGATACGATAATCGCGATTGAAAATATCGTGATAAATCGAAATATCGCCCAACCCTAATCGGTGGTTTTATGTGATAAAAAATCGTGTTAATTTACATAAACTTTAGCTTTGATTTTCTCGCCTGAGACGTTGATTTTTTAAATTACGTCGCCAATGAACTCGTAAGATGGGTCGTTTTTTAAGCCATTTAAATTCCGTGCTTTATCACATATAAGACACTCGGCTGTCGCCTCGTGTTATATATCTGATAAAACACTCCTGCTCGTGTTTGAAATGGTATTAAATCCATTCAAATTAAGTCTATGACGTTTTAAGTCTATGACAAAATTAAGCCAGAGTTACGAATCAGTAAATCTCTTAAAGCCGGTTTTCCACCAGGCGGAATTTTACGCGCGGAGCGGAATTTTTCTTTGTCTTGTGATTTCTCGAGTGGAACTAATTAGAAAAGACAAAGAAAAACTCCGCTCCGCGCGCAAAATTCCGCCCAGTGGGAAACCGGCTTAAGATACTGACACTATAGAATGTAACTCTCAAAAACTCAATCTAACTTTCCGATCAGTGAGTAAAATAATATCATGAAAGTTTGAAATTGATAAACATTCTTTTAAAACGATCTATCGGTGACAACAGGTAAAATCCTCATGTTTAGCGGGCGAATATATTTGTCTTCGATACACCATGGCTGTCAGATCAGTTGGGATCCGAGTTAACCGCGTTACCTGCAAGGACTGGAGCGAACTACAAACCTGGGTCAGTGTAGTAGAAAATTTCAATTTTTCCCCAGTATATTACATTCCCTGTCTGAATGTAACAGGTATATTTTTGCAACACTCCTCGACTAAATGTAACAGGTATATTTTTGCAACACTCCCTGACTAAATGTAACAGGTATATTTTCGCAACACTCCCTGACTAGATGTAATAGGTATATTTTTGCAACACTCCCTGACTATATGTAACAGGTATATTTTCGCAACACACCCCAACTAGATGTAATAGATATATTTTTGCAACACTCCCTGACTACATGTAACAGGTATATTTTTGCAACACTCCCTGACTAAATGTAACAGGTATATTTTCGCAACACTCCCTGACTAGATGTAATAGGTATATTTTTGCAACACTCCCTGACTAAATGTACCAGGTATATTTTTGCAACACTCCCTGACTAAATGTAACAGGTATATTTTTGCAACACTCCCTGACTAAATGTAACATGTATACTTTTGCAACACTCCCTGACTAAATGTAACAGGTATATTTTTGCAACACTCCCTGACTAAATGTAACAGGTATATTTTTGCAACACTCCCTGACTAGATGTAATAGGTATATTTTTGCAACACTCCCTGACTAAATGTACCAGGTATATTTTTGCAACACTCCCTGACTAAATGTAACAGGTATATTTTTGCAACACTCCCTGACTAAATGTAACAGGTATACTTTTGCAACACTCCCTGACTAAATGTAACAGGTATATATTTTTGCAACATTCACAGACTAAATGTAACAGGTATATTTTTGCAAACACTCCCTGACTAAATGTAACAGGTATATTTTTGCAACACTCCCTGACTAAATGTAACAGGTATACTTTTGCAACACTCCCTGACTAGACGTAACAGGTATATTTTTGCAACACTCCCTGACTAAATGTAACAGGTATATTTTTGCAACACTCCCGGACTAAATGTAACAGGTATATTTTTGCAACATTCACTGACTAGATGTAATAGATATATTTATTATATAAACATAAGTGTTATATAGAGTTTTTGGCCAAGTAGAAAATTTCAATTTTTCCCCAGTATATTAGACTCCCTGACTGAATGTAACAGGTATATTTTTGCAACACTCCCCGACTAAATGTAACTTGTATATTTTTGCAACACTCCCAGACTAAATGTAACAGGTATATTTTCGCAACACTCCCTGACTAGATGTAATAGGTATATTTTTGCAACACTCCCTGACTAAATGTAACAGGTATACTTTTGCAACACTCCCTGCCTAAATGTAACAGGTATATTTTTGCAACACTCACTGACTAGATGTAATAGATATATTTATTATATAAACTTCAAAAACTCATTAATAATTCATGAGGAAAACACAAAGAAAAATCATAAGCGTGTCGTATCTTTATATGTTAATAAAGATTTCCCTTCAGTTACATAAACTTTAACTTTGATTTTCTCAGCTAATACAAAGTTATTTTGGAAAATTATTTCGCCAATGCAGTGATCTAACTGAGACGTTTTTGAAGCTGTTTAATAAACTCGTAGTTCGTGTTTTATCACATATAAAACACTCCGCTACGCGTCGTGTTTTATATTGTGATAAAACACTCCTACTCGTTTATTAAACATTACATAAGTGTTATATAGAGTTTTTGGCCACTGAGAAAAATCGTATTTAAACACACGTAAAAAATACGATATTTTTACGTGTGAAAATATCATTTGTTGTAAAATGGACGTTTTATTGTTTTTCACTGAATTTTATTTATATAATAAACAGAAAAATACATGGGTGCTTGGAAATACCAGATTTATTTCTCGTGTTGAACATGATATCTTCCGAGAAACCACTGCCAGCAGGGTACATGATATCTCACCCATTCGCCGCGCTCACTCGTGAGATATCATGTTCAACACTCGAAATAAATCTGGTATTTCCGCGCACCCATGTATTATTCTCTATCTCTAACACTCCCTGACTAAATGTTACAGGTACATTTTTGCAACACTCACAGACTAGATGTAATAGGTATATTTTTGGAACACTCCCTGACTAGATGTAATAGGTATATTTTTGCAACACTCCCTGACTAAATGTTACAGGTATATTTTTGCAACACTCACTGACTAGATCATTTGTCTACCGAGATAATAGCGAGGTTCAGATTTGATTTCCACTACCGCTAATGGTCCATTAACCAATCAGATGCGTTTGATATATTCCATTAACCAATGAGATACGTATTAAGCCAGTGAAAGGTAGTGACAGCGGAAGTCAAATCTGAACCTCTCTAATTAGTCTACCACTAACGTCTACCTTGCACAGGCTAAGTACGCGATCTGATTGGTTAATCGGATGTATCAAACGTATCCGATTGGTTAATGTCCATTAATGAGAGTTTAAGATTGCAGCGGTTCCTATTTACGGGTATGGGTAGCGTCATTTCGTTATTTGCATTGATGTCTACATGTATGATGACACGTACATGACATAGACTACACGCTAATACGACTAAACATAGACACATCGACAAGAGAATGCTAAACAATAAATCGGAACTTGGGTATCTTTATAACCTGCCTTGTGTCACATTGCACATTTGTCTGTAAGGAAATATCGATAGACCAAACTGGCCATTAAAATAACATGCTTGCACTGATACCAAAGTATCGACCCATTGCACATGACGTCACAGCGCCAGTAACGATGCATCTGGAGGACAAATTAGCAATCTATGCACAATATAACTTTTGTAAACAAAGAAAATTTTGTAAAACTTTATAATAATTCTGTATCAAAATGGTTAGTTTTTGCGCTGTATGTGGTTGTTGTACCCGAACAGATATTGTTAGGGAGCATCTGGAGGACACTCTAAGTATTTGTGACGTCAGTGCAAAGGGTCTATTAGCAGTGAGCTCTATATAGATATCTGGAGCAAGAACTTCAGTCATTCGGCATATGAGAAAGGTGAAGCCAAGATGGCGGAGGGTGACATCCAATCAATGCGTCCAATAGCTATGAAGGTCGTATACAGTTTTAATACCATTTTCCCCAGCTAATTCCAGTTTTTCCTAAGGGACCGTAACACTAATCACGTTTTCAGTTCATAAAATCATAACATTAGTCTTTAAATCGAAGTCAAAATGCGAAATTTCGCACACACCTTATCAGCTCCATGCCCGACCGCGCAGACGAAAACAATAGAAAGGGACTGGCACTGGACGTCCATTCCCTTCAGTTTCGGATCCATCATGCATCTTCGGCTTCACTTTCTGGACTCGAGTTCTCGCTCCAGATATATATGGAGCTCACTGAGTATTAGCTACTCAAATCTAGAACAGTTCATTGTACTGGTGTCTTTTCAACGTAGAAAGGTTTCTCAAGTGGAAGCACGCCACTATCTGCTATCACGCAATCTCTTTTTGGTCGCGAACCATCCACATCGATATTTTCAATCTTCTTAATAATATTCTAAAATGAGGATTAATATTACACTGGCTCAGATTCAGTTGTCAGATCATCCAGACAGGAATAGATTTACCAGGCTGTGTGGATGGGGGCACACGCACATCTTAGGTTTTAAGTGCAAATGTTCTTATTGGAGGAGACCGTAAGATTGACGTTTTAATACGGCACCCTGCAGATATATAACCGCAAAGGGGAAACCTCAAATCGCATTCGAATGTAAGTTCTACAACTGTTCGAAAGTTAACTACAATCAGTGACAAAACACTTTGGACAAAATAGCAAAAGAGCGTACATTTACAACATAATCGCCCCCCCCCCGCACCCCCCGTTCAATGTTGTGTGTGGAAATACCTGCGCAAAATGTTCCTTGCCAGCCACCTAACATTGTTTAGGGTGGGGGAGGGAGGGATAGTGGCTTTATGCTGAACAGTATTTGGAAATGCGGAGATATGTATATATTATATCACTGTCCAAAAACCTTTTGTCACTGATTGTAGGTAACTCGCAGTAAAAGCCCGCATATAAGAACCTAGATTTCCAAGTTAACCTAAACAGGTTCTTATGTAAATTGTGCTTACCAGGAAATTAGGCTAACAGGTTCTTAAATGGGTTCTTATTTTCTTTAGAGAAAAGCGACTTATTTTAGGGGAGGTATAGTATGTGATTTATATAAAAAAATGACGTCAGTATATTCACTATATCAACTCTATACATGCACTTTAAAGCTACACTGATTCTAACTTATGACCTAAGTTTGACTCTATTTGATAATATAAGAATCTGTTTTGAGATTCTAGCCTGAACAGGTTTTGTTAAAAAGGGGTGTAAATAAAATATTTTCTTAATTAATTAAATTCTACGTTCTTATATGCGGGGTTTTACTGTACTTCAATTTTAATGTACTGATGACCCTAACTTTCATATAGCTGAACTGGAAACACGATTTATATAGTTTGCCGTTTGCGGTTTGCAGGATGCCGTACACGTCAATCTTGACGTCTGTATTAAATCCCACCTGCCTCTAATATTTTGGTGTTTCGGAGACCTCCTTGAGATTCTGACATTCCTATTTTATCTGACAAACCAACCTCGAACCCAGGGCTTCTACGCTTGTGGCCGCTTGTAGGGCCACAAGCGCAGAAGCTCCGGGTGTGAGGTTGCTGACAAACTGAAGGTGTTGTTTCCCAAACTCACTGCTGGCCGTATGATATACCCATCATGGCCAGTGAAAAGTCAGAACCTCCATCCCTCATGTCATATCAAGTTGAACACTGGCCTGCATAGAGAGGACGTTTAAGAAGCAAGAGCGCAACGAAATCGCACAGCATGTTTAAATTATACCCGGACGGTCTGGTACCAACATGGGTGGTAGCAGAAAGGTGCGGATTGAGAGGGATTCAACTACCTGAAAATACAAGGAAAACATGTTAACATGCTCAACGAAAGCGTACAAATAAACTCCCAATAAGCTCGCTTGCTCATTGTTCGAGACGAGAAATTATGAATTTCCGTCGGCCAGACGTATATGATAATCACATACCGTTCCAAAACAAACGTACTTATGCGTTGAAACTCTTAAAAGTCTTAAAAACAGGCTTGCTGTTTGGTCGAGACAGCACATTACGAATTTTCGTTTAGTGATTAATTAAAACTAGTATATTCTAATCGTGTACTGTTTATGCCATCCGCACTAACTAATGGACAATTCCAGCTATCGACTAATTTTTTATCTAGACAAGAAAGACGAAATCTATCATTATAGCTTAAAAAAGCATCCTAAAATTAGTAAAATTGCAAAGTTTGGTTGCGAAATGTTGTAAAATACGGAAAATGGTGGTGATGGAGATTTTCTAAGAGGGAATATATTTTTTCTGTACACCTATAGAAGTGATTTTTTTTCTCACTTGACGGCTGGAAATATTTTTTAAGTGAAATTTACAGGCCTATCTTCCAAGCTATAGGGGATCTTTTTTTTGCACTATGCCTGGGAAGATTTTTTAAAAATTTTTTCTGGGAATAAATTTCTTTTTTTGGCTTTGCCCCCACCCCCCCGACCACATCACTTTTCTAATGGTCCGTCCCTAATTTGTTTATACAAATCTAAAGTACATGGCGCATAATTAGCTAAGCCTGAGCATTGCCATTGGGCGCATGTTCTTACGAGGAATAATAGGCTACATAGTTAACATGCACCGATGGACGTAAGTACGTTAGGCAATCTCTAGACTCTATTAAAGTAGATGAACCCCCCTCCCCCCCCATTTGGCGGAATTTTCCCGCCATATGACGTCAGCATTTTGAGGATCCAGCGTAATTTTCCCGCCATATGACGTTAGCATTTTTAGGGGGATAAGTGTGACGTCATTTTTGGAACATTTGTCGCATAACATTTTTTCAAGTTCGTTGCACATGTCGCAAGGCTAAAAAATTGTCTCCTTGTTCAGGAAATACAAAGCCCCCGTTCACTAGTGTACACAATAGGTAGAAAATAGACTTGAAACTTTGATAATATCGACCATGGCAACATAGCCGCCACGCGTGGATAAAAACAATATGGCGGCTGAAACATGAAGCTGGTGACGTCACTCAAGCATTTGAAATTGATAAATGTTGTATTCATTTTGAGGATGTTTCACAATCACTTCTAAAGGTCAGCAGGTCAGTTTAGCCTTAGCATTGGTATACTCTTTGAGTACACGTGCTCAAGAGAAATACACTATGCAGGCTACATACAGTGTCTAAAATATCAAATTATCAATGCTAATATAATTTGAAATACAACTAGGAGTTACTGTCGCAAAGAAAGTGCTGTCTTTTTACCACAGGAACTGAATGCAAAAGTGTACTTCTAGACAATTCTCTTGGAAACAATACTCCCTCCATACGTGCCCTTGGGATGTTTGCTTGGGGGCATACTGTTGTCAGGAATAATAATTTGCAGAAACCTTCAAATAATAGACTATAGCGGTTAACAGTGCATGATTTATTTTGTTATTTAACCGGAGGTATCTTTCTTCTTCTAACAATTCAATTCTTCCACTCAGCACAGGTATATGCATGCACGGAGAATAAAATGTTAACCAAAATTGCTAAACACTGCAGAGCGGTTGCAATCACATGTAAACCGTCTACCATGGCTACGGTTGAAATGATTTGAAAAGCACGTATATTTGCATAAATATCGGGGTAAACTCCCACAGGAAATGTACATTATTAACATAACTGAATATTCGTTCGCTAACGTTGAGCTGTGCATGTTAGCAGTTAACTACTTCGACGTTTCGTTTACAGTATCAATCCGCAGCTTTTCGTTTAATCATTTAGTTTTAATCGATGATTCCAGCTGTAGACGAAGTTTTGATCTGGAGAAGAAGAACGAATTATCATAGCTGGAAAGAGCGTCCGAAATTGATTAAAATTGCAAAGTTTGGTTGCGAATTGTTGTAAAATGAGGACAATATAGCACTGCGAAGTTCGCAAATTTCGGATATATTTGCATTACGTGCGGGAAAAATAACCATTTTTGGGCCGAAAGTGGTTATTTTTACCGCGTGTAATACAAATCTATACAAAATTTGCGAACTTCGCAGGGCTATATTTTCTTCATTTTACAACATTTAGCAACCAATATTTGCAGTTTTACTCATTCTAAGATGCTCTTTCTAGCTGTGGTGTTGGATTTCGTTCTTCTTGCTTTGATCAAAATTTAGTCTATAGCTGGAATCACCCATTCTTTCGCATATTTTTAAAATGCAACCACAAAAACACAAAGTGTATAAAATTTATACTCGAAATTTCCACCTACAAAAAACCCTTCAATATTTAGTTCAATATTTACCCAAAATATAAGAACTTACCATTCCCTCGAGTATTATACCAAAGATCACGTGCTGTCCATTCAACCAGGGTGTAAGTACAGTGAATATTGCAAACTGAGAGCCATTTGTATCTTTCCCAGCGTTCGCCATATTGATCCAACCAGCACCATAATGATTCAGTCTGAAGTTCTCGTCGTCAAATCTTTCACCATAAATACTTTTACCTATCAGTAGGAAGGAAACTCGGTGTGTATGTAGGTGGTGTTAATTCTACTTTGTGGCAGGGTACCACCAGTAGGACTGATTTTCACCTCGTGTTAATTTACGTGCGAAAAACAAAAGTAACAGTAGGGGGGGGGGGGGTACTCATTTTCCTTGAAACCGAGAAGTGAATTGCGAAGACTCGCTATGTATATACAGCTGTTTCAAAAAATGTTGTCCGTCAAAAATCTCAAACTTTAAACTGTAAGCGCGTAAGGTATGATGGGTAACTTCTTACTTAAGGTAATTCCGCAGTAATTGTTCCCGAAATGAGAATGTGCTGAAACTTCCCATGGAGTTTATGATATACTTAAAGTAAAATCACACAAAAAAGTCGGGGTCATCGAACTCGTTAAGAAGATATGACAATCACAATATACCACCTTTACCCCCAATATGACGCCATCTTGACGCTCATTACGAGTAACAGCAAAATCACAACAGCCCGATATTTATTGACGTTTTTTGCGCGGATTTTGCTTTGGTAAACCTATCTTGTAATTATTTTTGAAAAAATATTGTGTTTTGAGCAAAATGAAACTACTAACGTTTACAATTCTGATCCACAAATCTCTTTTCCACATTTCTTTATATATCTTTCTTTGAGAACATGCATTGATAAAGAATTTTTTTTCAAGATCCAGAAATGATTTTTCTTTTTAATTGCGGATATGAAATGTAAAATGCATTAAAGAAATAAATTATCAGTTAAAAACCGGGGGTCACCGATCTTTTTAGGGAATTGTGGCATTAAAACGTGAAATACAAGTAAATAAATATACTAAAGACACAGGAACCCTAGCTACACTTTTGTATGCCTTTTTTGAAAACATTGATTTTAACGTAATTCTTTGCACGAATGTAACCAAAGATGTTTTGAAGTAACATAAAATTGTCATAATTTTTTTTTTTAAACGGTACGTATAATGGATGAAATTATAAGTTATAAGATGTGCGCAGTAAAAGTGCGCAATGCAAAACTGCGGAATTACCTTAAGGCCTAAAACGTGCGAATTTTGCATTGTATCTATGGCAAGACAGATAATAAGCACTTTTAAAGATTTACAACTAGCAGTGTACTAAGATTATTTGTCCAATCAAAAGCCCTAAAAAGAAGTTACCCATCACTCTTTAACGCGCTTAGAGTTTAAGGTTTAAGATTTTCGAAGGACAACCTTTTTTGAATTAGCTGTATATAGGCGTCTCTGCATGGCGACCATCACTCTACCCAGGAGGAACCGGAGACTCAAAGCAGGAGAGAACAAACCACAATTTTATTTTCATGAGATTTTCAAGCACATCAGTGAAGAGTGGTCATCCACACTAAGTAATACCCCATCCTCAACTTACAGTAACAAACTTAAAGGTTTGCGCGCTAACCGCTAGCCAAGACGGCTGTCTACCTTCCGCAAGCGACGCATGCATTACCTGTAAGTGGTTTTAGTAGAGCTGATTATTTTCTAACAACACGCCCCCCAAAAAAGATTAAAAGCGTACCCATGCGTGGTTGTGGCCTGCGTAAAGGCGCCTGTGGGGGAGGGTCAGGGCGAGAGAAGCTGGGAGGCTGGGGGAAAGGTCGACAGAAGGAGTGCCTCCCTTTTCCCTCTGCTCTTTCTTTCGCATTCCTTCCTCTTATCTTCTCTTGCGCCTTAAAAACCATCATTCAAAAGGCTTAACTGTGCCTTTAATATCCAATTATAACTTAATTCAGTTTATGTCATCATGTACATACCCCCTCGGCCATTTCCATGTGTGAAGTCACCGCCTACAGATAGATAGAAGCAGTCTCTAAATAACCTAAACATATATATCTTCAAAAACTCATTAATAATTCATGAGGAAAACACGAAGAAAAATCATAAGAATGTCGTATCTCTATATGTGATTTCCCTTGATTTACATAAACTTTAACTTTGATTTTCTCGACTTACACAACGTATTTTTTGAAAATTACTTCGCCAATGTCAATGAACTTACTAGTCGATTGAAGCAATTTAAAACATTCGCAGTGCGTTTTTAATCAGACCTAAAAATACTCGGCTTCACCTGGAATCTTTATATCTGATAAAACACTGCTGCTCATGTTTTAAATTGTACATAACATATATTATATAATATTTACATAATTATACGGAATTCTATCAGTAAACATTATTTCCTGTTTGATTCCCTGAATGACTTGTCTGCTGTGGTGCATAAACTGACCTTGTATCATGAAATCCTTGATAACTCTGTGAAACTTACTTCCTCTGTAACCATATCCCTTCTACATATTAGAAAAATAAAATTAATCCACAGAAGTGCAGATGAATTGATTGAACGTTTCGAGCGAAGGCCCTTCGTCTGGAACATAGCGTAATATAGCAATTATATAATAACGTTAAGAATTCAATAATACATTGATCGAGATCCATGATTTATTAGAGGACAGACCATAGAAATATTAGACCATAGAAATATTAGACAATAGAAATATTAGAATGTCTATTATTTCTATGGGACAGACACACGGAATTACGTCGCACAAAACCTTATCCAATAGCATTCCCTTATTTGTATAGATTATGTACGCCGTACGCGTGATATTTGTAAAATTTCGACTTTTTCAAATTTTCAAATGTTTGGGTGGACAAAAAGTAAGCTATTTATTTGTTTAATTTGGGGGTTTTCTTTTTATTATATAAGACAAATAGATGAGATTTTGCCGTTGTCTGTTAGTTATAGATGAAATAGCATTCCGCAGGCCATAAAAATAGAAACATTTTCCGGCCGGACCCCATGCATAGTTATTCTGTGTATTCGACGATTATTTGATTAGACCACTCCCCCTGCGGCAGACTTCCGAATATATATTACCCCTTGGAACCAGTCGGTATTTTGCCATCCACTGACCCAGACTAGCCCTAGTCCTCTGTGCACGCTTACGCGAAATAGGCGTACTAAGAGGCCTAGGGACTAGGCTGCCACTGACCGGCTTTCGATCTCGTTCTCGTGTGTGCTTACCTCGTGCGTTGCTAGGGCAACGAAATTTCTCACAGTTTTTGGCACTACTTCGCCAAACAAACCAATAACAATCCGACCCTGTTTTTCATCTCCTATTGTGATGTCAAAGTAAGCCTGAAGAAGAAAATGTAAATTGCGATGGCACTATTTATAGTAATGAAATCTTATCCCTGCCAATATACAAATAATGAATGTTTATGAGTGCAATGGCAAGAATATTTTCATGAAGTGAAAGATGGAATGTTCCATTCAACGAGGCGACAGCCGAGTTGAATGGAACATTCCATCTTTCACCGAATGAAAATATTC